GGTTGGACTAGATGATCTCCAGAGGTCCCTTCCAACCTCAACCATTCTGTGATTCTGTGATCTCCTCTTCTCTGTCTCAGTCTGACATTCTCAATAGTAAGGTAGCTCAGTATTCTGTAGGAGTTGCCTTTATACTTCTAAGACCTTCTCCGTTAATTTTCTCTCAGCTTCCTCTCCCCTAGACTTTCTCCTAAAGAATCAATTTTCATCCACATTAATTAAAACAGTAGACTCTCATAGCCTGAGCAGTTTAAAACTAGCATGATTGTAAGCAAATACTCATGCACAAGAAATAGAAATAAGTCTTCAGAATATCTTAAGCTTTAGATCTGCCTGCTTTTTACAATATCTTAAGCTTTAGATATGCCTGCTTTTTACAATTTCTTAGAAAAATTCTATCCTGCTATAAGATGTCACACAAAACTTCAGGATAAAATCTCTCTTGTTACTTTAAAGACAGTATGAGGAGCTCTTCAATTAAAGTTTTATATGTGACTAGTTTTAGCTTTGCCAAAGGAACTTCGGTAATTCATTTTATAGTTTTAAGGCAAATGCATGCTATTTTAGCAGAGAGAAAAAAATGTATGGAAAAGAGCCAAGTATTTTATTTGTGCATTATAGTGCTGCTTAAGAATTGCTAATTATCTTAGACAATACGTCATAGTAATTGTAACAGAAAAACAATAACTAAAACACTTATAGACACTAATTATAGCTCTGAAAAAAGACAAATCCAGTGACTAAGCCTCATTAGCTAGATTGCCCGTTGCTTGGCCTACTCTGTGCTATCTTCAGAATCTATAATTAGACTCAGTCTTCTGAAGTATTTCAAAAGGTTAACGTTAACGAAACAGTAATTAATAGATGGTATTTAATGAACCCGATCTCCAACGTTTTATTCAAAATGCTGTGAAGATGTGAAAGTTATGGTGGAGCCTACAATTTTCCAATTAATACCAAAAACAGTTTACACTGAAAAAAGAACAGTGGTTAAATTTACTTGTAATTAACGTTACACCTCACAGTAGAACCACTGTACTTAGTCTGTCAGGATTTCCATAAAGGGATTTGCAAGCCAGTTTTTAAAGAAGACAAAAATCATCCCAAACTAAAATCTGGCAAAATTGAAGGAGCAGTGTTTCCTGAAATTAATAAAAAAAGAAAGCCTACAAATTAAAACATTTTAGAGAGATTCAGGAAGAGTACAGAAATATTTTTAGGTTGCACTTCCATTAAAATGAAAATCAAAAATTGTATCAAAAACTTAAGTTTGCACAAAGTTTATCAGCTTTATGCAACTTCAGCAAAAATGTTTCTTAGCTTCTAATAAAATCTGCAATAGAGAAGATTGCCCCAGCTCCACATGAAATTTCACTCAAAAGCTATTAAAAGATCATCATATTACAGTCATGTTTAAGCTGCTCCTTAAGTATATCACTTCAAAAATAAGCATGCTTATGCAGACGACTTTGTAATTTACTGTAAATCCTGTGAATTACAGCAAAGGGAGTCACTCCCAATTCAGTGCCTTTTCAGTAAGACATTTCCAAGACAAAGTCTCAGATTTTTTTTGCACTACAGTTGACAACTTCTATCTTTCGTTTGTTCTATATAAAAGGAGGAATAAGCAAAATACTCATCTCTGAAGTTAATCCAATTATTTAGCATTTACTCCATGCAGTACCTGGCACCCAGTTATTTTTCCAAGAAGAGGAAAAAAAAAAAATCTTCAACCTGTGTCCCCCCACCAACTACCTAAAGTTACGAAAACAGGATTAAAATTCATACAGATACGGAAATTGGCAAAAAAGGTCAGCCAGTCTTTACATAGATCAAACTGACACTCTGCACAGTTAATGCAATGCAATCTTCCTTAAACAGAAATCCAGTAGGTCTACCAACTTGTTGATTCAATCTGCCATTATCAGAGCATAAATGCCTTAAAAGAAACGAATGTGAAGTACTGTAGAAAATCCAGATGTTTTGCAGACACTACTAAAAAAAGCCCTTTTACTCATGGGTTTTCTGAAAGGTATGGAAAGGACATGTCTGAATGGGTGGAAAGGCACAAAGCTGTAGGATTTCAGGAGAGAAAATTATGATTTTGCAGTACTGAAACGGGATACTGACCAGGACCTGTCATCCAACACATTTGCGTATGCAATGGTAATGGAATCTGGGAAAACCTGAATCAAGTCTTCTTGCTTCTCCTGGTGAAACAAGACTAAAGAATAGGAAGGAAATTCTCCATTTGTAAAATGGAAAGATACACACTACTGAGGTTGTTAGAGGAAAAGTCCTATGCTTTGAAACAGCTATGAAAACATAGTACTATACCATCTACAAATTCGCACATTAACTGCAGCTGACATTGGGCCATCAATAAGAAACATGCGTTTCTTTAAAAAGCAACAAAAAGCCCACACGCTAAACTGCAGAAGTTACAAGAAAGCTATTCTGCACTCTGTCTCATGCTCTTCCAACAACAGAAAACTGAGCAAGACTCAAACATCTGAAACCCACAAGACAGACTCAAGGTTTAAGCTGATACAGCGTCACCTCTCCTCTACAAACACATTGGCACGGTGTCACTTGGAACAACGTACAGGATAACAGCAGCAAATATTATCTGGAATGTACCACACAGGACCTTCTTCCATCTGTTCTGTATATTAACACTGCACATACTTCATCAGAAATAAACCCAAACTTTACTACTCCCATACTTCTGCTCTAATCCTCACTTATACCCAAATTCCACAGTAAGAAAACCCTTGGGCAGCAAGTGACAAGACCTACAGAGGAGTAGGTACTAAGGGATGCAACTGAAAGCGTACAGGTACCCCTTCCTTTAATCATTCTGAAAACCCAAGGTGGGTAAGGGAGTGTCAGACCTTAGTTGATTTCCTTCAGATATGACACTATAAAATCACTATCATCCAACACGCTAACCTATACCAAACATACTGGATGTAGCTGGGAAAAGCAGTGGTAACTTCCAGTGGCTCCGAGAGGGACTAGCTTAACCTTGTGTTATTGTATACTGTAATCCTTTATTTTTTGGTTTTTGGTGGTCTGAGCATTACTGTAAGGCTAACGTCAAAGTAAAAATGCTCATTATCATGCCTTCCTTTTTTTTTTTTTTTTTTTTTTTTAAAAAGAAGTTCAGACCTGCAATGTTGCAGTAAGTTCTATACCTACGGAGAGTGTACATCAAGAAGGTGCAAAATCAACCCATAGAAAAGCAGAGCAGAGAATTAAAACTATGGTTTTTAATCTACTTTTCTCCCCAGCAGCCTCAGGTATTGGTATCCTATTGAAATTAAACAGCTTGGCATGTTTTATACTCCCCGCAAGAAACAAATAAATTAAAAAAAACAGCTAAAAAGCTAAAACCATTTTACAGCTTTGTTACAGAACTAATCAAAATACAATGCTACTGCTAAATCATTATGACATAAGGCTGGAGCGATACGTACACGCTAGGAAACATTACTGTAGAGTTTAATACTACTAACGCTATTACATGAAAATGACAACACAATAAGGCTGAAGGAGCACACTAATCACAGAAGTAAGGCCTCAGCTAGCTATCAGAAATAAAAGCCAGACATAAGAAATCCCCAAAAAAGCAAATATTAACAGCTTAGTAACAAGAAGTCTGCTAACAGATAATTCTTTTGTTTCCTTGATGATTTTTGCTAAATTGCCCTCCTTAAAAAAAAGTGTCAGATATTTTGCTAAGAGTCAGACCAATAAGTAACTACATTGATAATGTATCCTGAAATTACGACCACTATCACATCACGGATACACACCTCAAAAGGATGTGGTGGAGGAGGCGGTAGGCTTGCAACTCTGGCAGCTCTTTCTCTTTCCACCTCCAGAGCATGTTTACGTGCATCTATTCGCCTTGGAAAAGAAGACGAAAAAAGAGGAAAGTTATTCAAGCAATGACAGCACTGTGTAAAATAAAAGGCAAACCTAAAAATCAATTCAGGAACTTCTGAATCTATTAACTCTTGGGAGACAGGGATGGACAAGCATACTGAAAAGTCAACAAAACTGATGGTGGACAGCAGCAGTGGAAAATTAATTTCTTGAAGTAATACGAAAACATTAAGACAATATCTGCGTAAGATATAAACCTCAAGAACAAAAGTAAAATAGCTGCTTTTCACCTAAGTTTCTGGAAAGTTTTGCATCACTTCAATACATTTTAATTTTTCACATGTATGCAAAACTAAGCATCTCATCAGGAGGCTTCAGTTCTAGTCAAGCACCACTATCCCCAGGAGAATACAGTTCATTTTCCATGCCAGCTCAAGTTTGGACTCATCCAGCGTCCAATGGGGCAGGAGGTTAAGAAGGAAGAGATGGTGACAAACGTGGTAGGTACTTTTTTCAAGCGGGTAACTCTCCATCAGGAACTGGACTGAGAACATTTTATTTCACGTGTCATTGAACAGTTGCCAACCAACAACCTGGATCGAAAACACCGATATAGAGATAAAAGGCTCCTCAGTCCACTGAGAATCTGTCTGGTCAGCTAGTATACTTGACCTTTTTATCTTTGTTTTAAAACTACAGTTCTTACCAAAATCCATATGTTTGTCCTCAAGCTCTAGTCCTTTAATTTCATAAAACTTCAAAATTAAAAAAAGCTCCAAACAAGAAGGATCAAGATTTTTGCCTTTCATCTTGTGAAACTGTGGAGTATGTTTTATGCTTAATAAAACTAGATTACTATTGCATACCGGGCTTGCTCACGAAGTAAATTTTCTTTTTGGTACTTCAGCTCTTTCAGGGCTTTTCTATGTCTCTTCTCAGCAACTTGTTTCCTTTCCTCTGCTTGCTTGGCCAGAGCTTCTAAATCAGGTTCCTTTCCAATAAAATATTATAAGCACTTAATACAGAATATTAATTACTTCTCATATTGTCAGCACGGTATTTCAAATTAAGTACTGCTGGTAAGAAACAAAAGCTTGAAAACACTTTCTTCTGTATTATAGAGTAAAAACTTTCCCTGCTTTGCCATCCTCTTTATTCTCTCATCTACCACCAGCAATACCAAATTTGCTGTATTCCTCAACTAATGTAACCAAATATCAAGTGTGGAAACCTTAGCTTCTCTCTGCATCTTCTTAATAAAAACAGTAATATAAATACACTTAACACTTTATCAAACGCTCACCAAACCATATAGAGAAAGCATATTACTACACCTCAGCCATTAATTATAAAGAAATATTTTTGATGACACACAGTCATCGTAATTATTTCTCTATTCCTACTACAGTGATACCGCAGTTTTCTACCAACTCTTCCAAGCTAGCATCTGTAAAAACTTTAGAAACAAGTTGTCGAGGTGTGGCAGATATGGGAAAAGCATAAGGCTGTTCACTTGGGAACAAAAAAAAAAACAAAACAAAACACTGACTAATTCAGAAATTAAGCTAGTCTACCAAAGTCATATGAAAAACCTGTTGCAGAGCTTGATTTTTACAACCCTGACTCAAAGTCAAACCCTAGAGGATTCCTACCCCACAACTTCAGTGATCTCAAATACAGCCCACATAAATTACAGGATTCAGAAGGTGGTGAAAATTGTTTACAAAAGCAGAAGTAGGAAATGATGTCAGTCTGGAGTCCATGCAAAAGCCTTTGAAGCCCCTAAGACCTTCTATGCCACTTGAGTACTGAAAGAAAGTTTCACAACTGGATGTTATTCAGCACATAGACTGAAAAATAGCCTTCTAAAAATCATTTAATGAGTTAATTATGCTCTGACATCTAAGGATGTCCATCCTGCAATAACTTGGCTATAGATCTTTCCCAATGAAACGTTTACATTCTTTCTCACCATACCTGGTCCCATGGATAACCACATACAAATATGTAAGTGTTTCTGTGAAGCTTCCATTCTCAAAAAACTCTCCCTTTAGAAGTTATGACAGTAAGATCAAGAATAAAAAAAAACAAAAAAAAACAAGTAAACAAACCTACAACCTTGATATTTCTAGAACACCAAGTATTTTTATGACAACATTAAGCTCTTTACTTACATTTTCCTTGGCTTGTCTGTGTCCTTCACCAACAGCTCTTAAGCTTGATAAATACAGTTTTTCTAAGGCCTTAATCTTTTGATCTTGGGCTTTCTGCCACTCAGCTCTCAACATCTTCTCTAACTGACGTAGTTGCTCTTCTTTCCTCTGCTTTACTTCCTGTCTTATCTGCAATGCGATGTACTTCTCTTGCTCCCTAACCTGTAGATATAGCATTTATATTTTTTTTCAGTAACTTAAAAAAAAAAAATTACTTCCTTTTGGCAGCAAATCTTTCCATAATACACTCTCGCCTGCTTATCACTTTATCACTAAGTTTCACTTGCTATTCCATTACAACTCCACCTGTCCCAGACGTGTTTTAACATTGCCATTACCCTTTCCCACAGGGATCTTTAATAATAAACTTAATAAATATTAAATGTTTTGGTTTAAACCCAAAGATCAACACACAGATGACAATCAAAATATAAAAAGCGTTTGAAACATCCTTCCCTCCACAGGAAATGAAAATACAGTGTTACATAATGAAAGTCATTAGTAAATCATATTTCTTTAAAGAAAACTAACAACTATATTGCTTGATTAAAGTCTGTTTACTAAAATCTTATTGACAAAGTGGAAAAAATAATAAAAAAAACTCTTCCTTAAAAAGAAATACATACAAGGACAAAGAAGTCTAAGGGGCTGGAAGATTAGTATATATAATCTTCTTGAAGTTATATATTTTTGAAGATGTGAAAGACCTAAAGAGCTGGTGTCAGATAGCACAGAGGAAGGCAAATTATAAAAGGAGTAAGCAGAAAAAAGGGAAAGTAGTCACATGCCTGCAGCCAAGCATAACATAAATAGAAGAATGATAAGATGATCAACAGCCAGGTTATGAAGAAATTAAAGATGCTTTGGTTAGATTAATCCTAAAAGGAACAAGACTTTAAAAGCATTTAGAGTTACTACATGTTGTAACAACTCTTCTGGTCTACTGGAAAGCTGTGAAGTTTCACACTAGCCACAGCTGTCTTGTTTTAGCAGTGATCATGCAGAAGAAATATTTGGAAGATGGAGATATGAATCTTTATATAAATGACATATCAATAGAAAAGAGACATATCTGCATGTTAATTGACAAATAAAAATGGTAGCCAAAGATGAAAATTTAGATCTAAATGAAGTCACAAGTTGGCAAGAAAGAAAAGGTTCTGGAACAGAGGCACAAATGAACCTAGCAAGGAGAGAAGATATCACAAGCAGAACAAGCATTTACTAATAAAGAAAAATGAGAAAAGGAAAATAATTCAAAAGCTACATCCAATTTAATACACAATTATAATGACCCTGCAAAAGTATTAAGTTATTTCTAAAATTATTTCTTTTACATCATTAAAAGAAATGGATAACCAGTCCAAAAATATAGGCATACCTGCTGTAGTCTCAGCTTTCTTCTTCTTTCATATTCTTCTTTTAAAAGCATGGTTTCCTCATTAGGACTAAGTCTCAATTTCCCAGCTCTTGTAACTTTCCTCTTCATCTTTGGGAAGATTAACAATCAACTTCTGTGAGAATAATGTGAAAAACAAACGTTGGATATAAGTGATACTAACAAAACAGCTATAAGAAATAAATATTGCCATAATCTGACAAATCTATAATGATATCTGAACGTGGGCTGCAACTGTTCTTGCCTGTTACATATTTCACTCAAATCTTTTCTGTAATCACAAAAAAAGGCACTAATTTTGAACTACTACACATGCAGTAAATTCTGCAAAGAGTAGATATTACACACACATTCCAGAATCTATGCACTAGAAAATAAACACCTTTCCATCCATTTAAAAAAAAAAAAAAAACCCTAAACATATCAACAGCGCAGCAGGCCGGTTACATAGATGATTTCTACTGAAATATTCTCATATAGCTACAAGACATTGAGATTGTTAACAGTTTAGACTGCAATCTAAGGTTTTCTCCTAGCACCCTTTTTTATTTATAGAAGGTTGTGAAAGTTCAGGAAGCCCTCATTCCACTAGAATGCCAAAATGTCTAGCTGATAATTTTTTAGTTTCCTTAAGTAGCTTTTGCAGTAATGTTTCCCAGGGGATTTTACTGTGGGATCATCATCAGGATAACAATGCTGGTTTTGCAGATCGTTTCTCATTTTGCTTACAATTACGATTTCCATTTCTCTCTTCATAGCAAAAACTTTTTTCAGCCTGATAAACAGGTCCAAGGAAGAAAAAAAATCTAGTTTTTAAAATCCTAATAGCCGAGAAAGATTTTCCTCCAAACCCTCTCCCAAAATAAACCCTACAAAAGCTTTCAAAATCCATTGTTTAAAGATCACAGGGTTATCAACCTAACAACGCAGGCAGCATTAACAATTGTAACCAACACAACTGAGTTTGTTACACTTGAAAAGGTGTAAACAGGTGTAAAAAGGTTTCTTTTCAATATCATAGATAAACAAATAACATAACTCTAAGGAAGTCAGATGAAGCATAAAAAGGAAACAAGTCTCTATAAGGTCCATTTAATACAGGCTTAGTAAACCACTGGATCCCAAGGTTCACTACAGGATAAACAGGGAAAAAATACTTCCAGCCATCCCTTATTTAGCTGATAAAGTGTAAATCAAAAGTTTATCAAAACACGATAGCCGAGGACCAAAAAACTACATTCCACTTTGTCTCCTGCTCAAAGAAAGGAAAACTTACAGGACGAGTAACACAAAGTCAAAAGATCTAACCCTTCAGGGATAAAAACAAAAGCAGACTACACGAACGCCCCTGTAAAGCAGTTGGCACTCGCAAAGATTCAGGAGCAGCAGAAAGCAGCCAGCATGCACAACAGCCGAGAACACGCCGGCCTCCTCTGGCAATACCGGCCTACAGATGCGCTCGTAAGCAACGTTAGCGCCTCTTACTACCCTGACCAGGAGAGCGCGCAAAAAGCTGGCAGCCTTTCGAGCGCCCAAGCTCTCCTTCAGAGCCTGGAAGGGAAGCGGCGGAGATAAAGGCAACCACAGGCGCAGGGCAGCCGCCGGGGGCTCGGCGGAGCGCGCTCCGCGCCCTGAGGC